AGCATATGATTTTAAGATTTATTTTTGCACTTCTCTGTAAAATGCCTTTGAGAAACGGGTGTGTGCTGTATGCATTATGTGATGTATGTTATGGGGACAATAAGGGCAACCAGAGTAGGGAGAGAGGAAGCAGAAGGGAATGTTTCTGACTCTTTGACTAAAATATTAATTTCCATATATGATTTAATTATTGAGATTCCCTGAAATATATGTTTCAAATTCAGTTTAAATTTGCAGCACTGTAGTTAACAAGAAAGAAGTAGAATCCACAGTCATATAGTCACTTGGTCATTTCTTGTATTTTCTTATGCAATATCTGTATTTGTATTCATGCTTTAAGCCAGGGCCACACCACCCTCACCCAAATTCAGGAAGAATTTCTTCCACTCTCAAATCTAAATTTACCTTTAAATCTATAGCATTTACTCGAATAGCATTGCAAACGTGATTGTTAAAAGGAGTAGTTATCAAGCACTTGTAGTGCTCTGTTGCTTTGTATGTATTGAGAACAGTGCATTAGGAAAAGCTGTTTAAATCCACAGATGGTGAATCCATCCCATACTGTAAAATACCAGCTCAGTGTTCTCCAATCCTTCGTACCATATTCTAATACCGTGTTTATAATGTATTGATTTGATTGCCTGACCTTAGTGGCTGCATGTACKCAATGTGAACCTTAATTCTGCCTGACTGAGCTGAGGGCGGTGGGCAGGGCTGCCAGCTGAGYTTTGCACATTAACATGTCAGCTTTGGGGCTTCCCAAATTACAGGACTCTCCTGTCCTCATGCTCACAAAGTGCTAAAGGCCAACTCTTCTCCTGTAAATCTTTATTTTTCTCACTGGTATAGTGTTTGATTTCGAGTGTGATCTGCTTACAYGTGTTAAACTCCTAAGAAAACCCCTCAGGGATGTGTGCTTAGGAGAGGGGATGTGATAAGCACCATATGGTGCACAGGACTCTGGCTCTGTGTTTTTGTCTTCTTTCTTGCAAAGGAAGTGCCTTCAWGTGACAATTTGTTGACAGTTCATCTTCACCAGTGGCCAAACTATAAAGATCAATAATGGCGGGTTTCTCTGTCATTGAGAAACACTGTGAGGGGCTTTGGGTGCCATGAGGGCTGTGAGAGACCGTGAGGGGTCCTGAGGGGCCGTGAGGGATTCTGAGTGATCGTGAGGGACTTTGAGGGGTTGTGAGGGACTATCAGGGGTCATGAGGGACTTTGAGGGGTCTCGAGAGATCATGAGGGATTGTGATGGCGGAGAGGGGCAGCGAGGGACTCTTGAGGGATCCGAGGGACTGTGAGGGCGGTGAGGAGCCATGAGGGACTCTGAGGGATCCTGAGGGATCGAGAAGGACTGTGAGGGGTCGTGAGGTGCTGTGAGGGGCTGTGAGGGGTTCTGAGTGCTCATGAGGGATTCTGAGGGGTCCTGCGGGGCTGTGAGGGACTGCAAGGGGTTTTAAGGGATTGTGAGGGGCTGTGAGGGATTCTGAGTGATCATCAGTCTGTGAGGGGTCCTGAAGGGCCATGAAGGATTCTGAGGGATCGTGAGGGACTACGAGGGATCCTGAAGGACCATGAGGGACTGTGAGGGGTCCTGAGGGACCTTGAGGGGTTGTGAGGGGCTTTGTGGGTCACAAGGGCTGCGAGGGATTCTGAGGGACCGTGGGGAGTTGTGAGGGGTCATGAGGGACTCTTTGAGAAGGGCTGTGAAGGGGCTGTAAGGGGTCCTGAGGGGCCATGAGGGACTTTGARGGGTCCTGAGGGATCGTGAGGGACTGTRAGGGGTCTTGAGGGGCTGTGAGTGGTTGTGAAGTGCATGAGGGACCCTGAGGGGTCCTGCAGAGCTGTGAGGGACTGCAAGGGGTTTTAAGGGATTGTGAGGGATTCTGAGTGGTCATCAGGGTCTGTGAGGGGTCCTGAAGGATTCTGAGGGATCGTGAGGGACTGTGAGGGTCCATGAGGGGTTCTGAGGAGCTGTGAGAAACCATGAGGGTCTGTGAGGGGCTTTGGRYRCCATRAGGGTTGTRAGRGGCCATGAGGGGTCATRAGRRACTTCGAGGGGTCSTGAGMRATKATGAGGGACTGTGATGGCTGAGAGGAACCATGAGGGACTCTGAGGGGTCCTGGGGGGCTGTCAGTAGTTGTGAGGGATTGCGAGGGATCATGAGAGACCGTGAGGGACTTTGAGGGGTCGTGAGAGACTCTTGAGGGGTTCTGAGGGGCTTTGGGGGCCACAAGGACTGTGAAGGGCCATGAGGGACTGTGAGGGCTTATGAAGGATTGTGCGGGACCCTGAGAGTCTTTGAGGGGTTGTGAGGAACTTTTGAGGCCATGAAGGCTGTGAGGGGTCATGTTAGCTGTGAAGGATTCATGAGGGGTTGTGAGGGGCCACGAGGGACTGTATAGCAAAATATTTCAAGATGGTTACTGAATCCATTGRAAGAGGCCACAATCCAAATTCGTTGTCTTCTGGCAAGGCAAGACTGCAGCAAACTGCTGCTGTTGTTTACTGAGGGGAATTTGTCAAAATTGATTTGAATTTGTAATGTGCTAAAGTGAATAAATGTCTGAGACAGTACTGCTGACAAAAATGCTTTTTAAAGATATTAAAAGAAGGGGGAAAAGGACAAAGTAGTGATGACCTACTGAAAAATTAGATTTGACAAACTAGGAAATAAAATAGATCTGWGTAGTCCCAACTTCTAAGGCTTCTAAGCTTTGTAACATGGTGCTGAATTTTTAAAATACTTTGTAGAACCAGTTTCTGGTTCTTGTATGGGAATTTATGTATGAAGCATCTGAGTTGCTGAATTACTCTTTCTGTAGACAAGGTGTTCATATTCTGCATTATGACCGATATTCAGGTGTGTGGAAAGTGTTTTGAAGGGATTTGACATGATGTACACTGCAGTAATTTGATTTTGAGGTAACAAAATTATGAATTAAGGAAATGAGGATCTATTTAGAAAGCACTGCTCTTGTCTTCTTAGCCAGAAACAAATGGAATATAGTTGTGTGGGCTTAGCTAYAGTCTGAGCTTCCAACAACAATGGAGATGTCAGCATTTTTAGGCTTTTATGTTATTCTTTTATTGTTTTTCTGAAAGAAAAACAAGCAATGATTGATTCATTCCTAAGAACCCAAAAAGTTGTAGGTGGTAATTTGTCGTATTATTCTTGCTTAACCTTTTAAAAGTATAAAGCAAATGATTGCAATTTTGCCAAGGTAATTACTGCAGTAGTGGTAAAGCATGAAAAAAATGGGGAAAAAGAAGGTAAAATGTTGAGGGCAAAGATACTTTTCCCAACCAGAGTGTCCAGATTTACCCCTCATGTGCTCAGATATTTGTTCTTGATTAATGTTTTTACCAAGACAGTTGATTTTTCCAAAGAATTTAAACATTAAAATAGAATTTTGTGCCTTCATGTGCACATGTGCACATGTGCACCCCAGCAAAGGATGCAGTGTCAACAGCTATCCTTTAGTCTTCAAAGGGAACTTAGAAGTACCAGCCAAAATCTGCRCTGGCATCAAACCTCCTCAAATGCTCCCCTGACTGAAGCTTGCATTTACCCAAAGGTCCTGTCGCTGCAAATTCCTTCATTACCTTCTYTTTCCCCCTGCTGCATGTTTAGAAAGATGGTCTGTTTTCCTACMAGTAAAAGATGTGGAAAATGTGCTGAAGTTTGCTGAAAGGAATTTAAAAGAGAATATTTTTGTCTTGGCATGTAGCACAGTTGTAAGAAAGATCATTTTGATGACATCCATCTGTTGCAGATTAAAATAGGTTGGAATCGGGGATTGTGAAGTGAGTTAGTGCAGCGTGATAAGCGGGGTGACCGAAATAAATGCATTGGAAGGGACTGGGCAACTGAAATAAGTGACTGGAAGTGGGAGGCTTTTAGGATATTCTCATGATGTGAAACAGTGGCTCTGSCCGCCGTTTGTGACAGGGAGGTGGGATTGGTTGAGAACACGCTGGGCTGGAGGCGTTCCGGTGGAACTGCGAGTCCCAGTCAGTGGAGTGCCGTCCTCTGCCTCTGTACTCACACCCCCACAAACAGGCTCTCCTTCTTATTTACCTGCTCCTTGCAGTCACTCCCACTCCATTTATTTAACTGGGACAATTGTTGCTGTCTCTGTACGTGTTCCCAGATGCTTATTCTGTGTACTCCTTGTTTCTATTGCAGGGCTTGGGTTTGTCTCCTGCTCTGAGGAGTCTTGGTAGCCAATTTACCTCTCTAGGGGAACATCCGAATCTGGGCTGGTTTCAGACAGCCAATGTCATTTCATGTTGCAATCACAGACAAAGACAAGAGGGCTGTGGCTTTTCATGCTCTGTTGCTTGACAGTACATCCCACAATGTGGCTGAAAAATGAAAATGTATTTTTATAGCTTTTTGAAACCTTTTTTCAATGTGTGAGTGCAGGCAGTTTAGGGGTGGGAATGTTTACATGATCCTGGATTTAGATACTCAGACTTGAGTACTTCATCCGCTTTGTTCTAAGGTTAGCTACACATGCAGTGCTGCCCACTTTGAGCGTATCGATCTAAAAATAATGTATAAAAATAACATATAAATATATAAATAACACACATAAAATACATAATATAGAAAATTATATATATAAACAAGGATCATATATGTAAAATTTCCTGAAAAACTATGTTTAGCAAGTTGATGCATTTATTTTTCTCTTGTTGACAATATCAGTTACTGTGATTTGTGGTTGATTTAAATTTTTTTTGTAGTTCTTGCTAAATATTGAATGTCAGCAATTATTGCTCTATTCTGCTCACTCTGACATGTCTGCAGTTCTTTTGTGCCATTATTGCCTAATTTAAATATGCTAATTAATGCAGATATAATGCAAAGTCAGTTATTTCACAGTTTTTTCTCCTGCAGCATAAAATATGGAAACCTTTCACTACTGATGAAGTTCTGCTCTTGTTTGAGCAGTAGCTAATTGGAGAATTTTTTTTCTTTTTCTTACAGTCTGACAGCAATGCAAGCTTTCTCCGAGCTGCCAGAGCTGGCAATTTGGACAAAGTAGTGGAATACCTGAAGAGTGGMATAGACATTAACACCTGTAATCAGGTAAGATATTTGAAGGACAGAAGTTTGCAAGAGTGAGTGGCAAGAAACCTGGGCACTACAGAAATACTATCTGTCTCTTTATCCCCCTGCACGTGGCGTGCTCAGCCCATGGATTTTCCTCAGCCATCCCACGTGAAGCACCTAATCCCTGTGAGCTCAGGTGTGGGTGTCTGAGGGTTCCCCTGCTATTTTTGTGAGATCTCAGGGGGTGTAAGCACTTGAGTGGGTGCAGTTGTAGCTGCCCGGATAATTTATGTCCAGGCAGATTAAAATCTTGTCACTCACCTGCATTGGCAGTGCACTTGTGGTTACTCTCAGGTGGCTAAAGRGGCTTTCACCTTGTTTCACAAAACTAAATGTGGTTTTATCCCTGCTCAATAACATCTATAACATAGGATAAAAGGTACTTAAATGTTGTGCTTAACATACTGTCTCCCCTTTCAGGAAAGTTATTACTGCTGTAAAAAGAGACTGTTAAAGTTTCACCATTGATGTGACTGTAATGTGATAGAATGTTTTGGCTTTGCTCTTTTGTAGGTCTGTCATATAAATCCAATTATTTTGGCTTCATAGCTTAGGGACCTGCATTTGCTACATTTATTTAAGTGACTAGAGCCATCAAATTTAATAAGACTCTAACTGTGACTTAAAATAAATGTGCAAATAAGTGTCTGCAACAGTTCTGAGAAGTGCCTTGCCTTTCTAGTGAAATCACTGGAGCTCCTTTGATGGGGARTTTGACAGCTCAGGCTTTATGGTGTCCAGCTTTCCCCTAAGCCTAAGCCAGATTTGATCAAWGTGACCACTAACTGGACAATGGCTATGCCATTTGGAAGCAAACCTGCAGAACTGTGGCCACTATTTATTTTGGGGGRAAAAAGAGTAAATGGAAGAATAAGAAATAAAGTAATCTAAAATATTTGGAGCCATCACCTCCCCTGCTGAAGTAAAACTGCAGATAATTAAAGCAGGCATGTGTCAAATGGAAGCTAGGGTACAGGAGTGAGAGCACATCTGTTGGCTGTGCCAAGGAATTTAATGATGAAGAGGATAAGAGCTGGGAGTTTTCATGTTCTGCTTATTGAAAATGTTCTTGTCTTACTGTCTAGAGAAAGTTTCCRTTAAAAGGCTTACTGTCAAGGAAAAACTTGCTGAGTTAAATGGGACATGACCTGGCAAACTTCAAGTTGCCCAGTTAGGAGTCAGTAAAGCTGGAGTCAAGTTCTTGTGTTCAAATAGATCCAACAAATTTTCTATCTTTATTATAAGCACCAGTATTAACAAAGAGATTCACTCCCAGGACAGAGCACAGTTAATATGTTAATTATTTAGGAACATTACAAGGTTTTTTCCAAGTGCTCTTATTCTCTTGCTGGCTATGAGAGGAATATGGTAGAGGTTGCTGCAGATTGATTTTCTGTGGAAAATGCTTCCCACCCGCAGCTTGTGACAAAGCTTCTCTTGCACTGTGTAGGTGAGATCAGAGCTTTCACCATGCACCGAGCACAACCAGGCACTTCACCTTCTTGCAGACTCCAATTCTGGTGCTGTATAAAATTGCTTACACAGATTTTTGGTAATTATGACCCTCAGTACCTCCACTAATTAAGCTGGTGTATTGTGAATTTTATTAGGAGTGGGAGCAGATTCCCTCTGCTAGAGGTCAGGGAATATTGARTAAGCCATGGCAGCTGCTACTGTGGCCTTCAAGTTATTCCTCCTTCTCCCCATCAGGGTTTCACAGGGGTGTCCATGTCATTGTATTCCAGCTGTCTAAGGGGAGAAGCAAACACAGTCTCTGCAAAATGCAGGGCTGTATTTTAAGAGTGAGATATCTCAATGCTCTTTTTAAAATGAAGCTTTGTGTGTGCAGTGTGTTTTTTCTCAGTATAATGCTATTTTTAGACTGGATCCCATCTGAGAAAACCATMCATAGTGTTAAGTATAAGCTTTCCTGAATGAAGAGAACACCAGGAGATTCTTTTTTCAGTTTCAATGTTTGTTTTTTTTTTTTCTCAGATCCTGAGTTTTCAGAGAGAGATGTCTTTATAGATAATCAAAGTATTTTTCAAATGTAAGTGTTGACAAAATATGATGGAGCTTAATGTTTTGGGGTATACTGAATACAGGAAGTAGTTACTAATAGAGTTATATAGTTAATAATTACATTTTACTTAAACATGCTTTGTTGAATGTTACCTTCATATCAAGTTCAATTATTATGGAATTACTTCCTTTAATCTGAATTCAAGCACTCTCATTTTTTCTTAAAATCATGAATCAATTCTGTTTATTTCTGGAGAGAGTTAGAAATGTCAGGGGATACAATTCCCCTGTTTTAAGAAGTGTTCCTTAAAAAAAAAAAATCCAATTCCCGGTACTTTATGGGTTAGATAACCAATAGTCATTGGAAATCTCTGATTCCTTTAAAGCTTTTCTTCCTATGCTACAAATGGAGTTTTTAGGAAGTAGTTATTATTTCTAGTTCATGTAGCAAGAGAAAACAACTTGTTTCTGCATCATGTTCAAAATGTTGATTAGCAAAACAAACTTAAATCTTACGCTGTGCAGCCCAAAGTTCCAGCAGGAATTAGACCCCAAAGTCTGACCATTCTAAGAGTTCATCAGCTGCCTGCTGAGTTTTGAAACTCCATTGGTGAGCCAAAGGCAACATACAGTAACATTTCTCCATCTTGTTTTTGGAGACCTGTCAGTTTTTTTCAGGGTGATGCAGTCACTGTCTTGGAAGGAAAAATTCCATGGGTTTTGGCATTTGCTTTGAAAAAGTCTTCTGCTTCCTCTGTGARGTCTAATGCCTTGAATAGAACAGGTTCAAGTATTAGGTAGTACTGAGGAGCCTGCAGCCCCAAGGCTTTTTAAATTTGTCAGTTTGGCTTTTGTTTTGTTGGCTTCCTTTTAATKCAATTTGTCTATTCCTTCAGTGACAGTGAGATAGAGCACAACTGTTAATTACTCTCTCCCTCCAAATGGAAAGGCACTGCCTCTCCCAGCAGTGACAGCTAGAGTCTGAAGGAGCACTGTAGCATAATGAGGTCGGCAGCATCACATTTGATGTCACTCAGTAGGTTAATTCATTTTCTTGAGTTCCTAGACTGTAAGGCAACACAAAAGAAGAATTTTCATAACATGGTAATAGTTTTCCTTTTTTTTTTTGTCAGGCGTTCACTTAATTTCTTTGTGATATTTTTAGGAAAAACTTCTATAAACCTTTCTGAAGGCCATGTCCAGCTCTCTAAYGTGCCCTTTCCCAAATCTTTCTTGAAATGAGGCTGACCACGTCTGCTTTTTACTTCCCCAAGAGGTCTTTTCAGAGGAGAGACTTTGCAGAGCCGCTGTTAAAGAGAGAAAAGAACTGGAGTTTAACAAAGATGATGATAGTGCTTTTCAGTTTGTCTCTGCTCGCAAATGGAGTTAGCACCACCATAAAGAGTTGSTCACAAAAGCTTTTTAATTTTCATTGTGCTTTTCAGTTACTGCTTTTCTATTGGGCTGTTGTCATAGAATTTTTTCCCACTTCCTTCAAACACTTTGTTTCCCCCATCTATACGTTTTTATGTTCTTTCTGATCCTCACTAAGTCTCACCAGCAGAAGGTGAGTCGAGCTTTCCAGGACTGCCAGGTTTTTGTCTATACCTGTCACTTAGAGGGAAGAGTGTAAAATCCCAGAGTGCTGACTTGGCTGATTTAAAATGTCCTTTGAACCACAGGTTGATCTGATGCTCTGCCAAGACATTGCTTTTCCATGGTGTCAGTTTGCTTTGGCACAATAGGGTTTGGTGGGAACAGGAGAAGCAGTTGGATCTGGGTGATGTCCCAGAAGGAGTAAATGGCACAGCAGGATCRATGCTGAACCAGGCAGTGATGAAAGAGCTTCCATTCCATGAGGTTCACTCAATGAGGTAACTGAATACAAAGGCAGAGGTAGCAGGGATTTCTCTGRGTGGTTTCCAGACAAGAGCAGTGACAGTGCCTATCTTACAGGAAAAACAGTGAGTGTCTTTGGACTGGCTTTAAAAAGGCTGTCATGGTCAGGATGTCCAAATAATCCCTGGACTTTTCCAGTGTGGTAAAAATACCTGGGGTRGCACAATAGGAAGTGCTGTGAGCACTCAGTGGTATGGGAACATGTTTGTAGCACTCCATGGGATACAAAGCATTGAYGTCTCTGCCTCAGTGGAACAGGAGAAAAAAATTTAAGGGAATCAGACACTGCAGGGAAACACTTGGAAACAAGAACCCACTTGGAAGGCTTAGTATTATGTTATTTTATGAGAGTTAAAATTACCAGGGAGCCTCCAAAAGAATGGCAGTTATGGCACGTGCAGGCTTTGTCCTTATGCTGCACAGTTTYGCTGAGCAGACAACTAATTTCACCCTCCCCAACTTTTTGGTAGGCATGGGGGAGAAAAAGGGACGTGTCAGAAACCTTTGTTGTTCTGAATTACAAAAATCCAGTTGACAGGAACGGAGGAGTTGCATTGATTAAATCTGAGATTCCATCATCAGAAGTAGCAGGGATCAGCCACGTAGGCTGGGAAATAATTGCAGCGTTGGTTCTGATTAGGGAGAAACAGAACAAAAGTTGCTTTAAGGCTTCAGTTGTGCTGGCCCTCAGCATTTAAAGTGCAGGGCTTGCTRCTGCTGCTGCTTACCCCAGCTTGCTTTATTTAAGGAATTATGGAATTTGAATGTCTRTAGTACTATTTTTATGCTAGAGTTTCTTCCTGTAAGCTTTTTACTGTACATCAGCTATGCACTTTGCTCATGTTTTAATGAACTAAAAAGAAGTTCTATGTTATAAAGAAAGTCACTTCATCTATGCAGTAATAACAGCTTTCATTTGCTTAATGTGGCATCAGCAGGTATGTGTCTCAGAGGCAGGAAWACAAGTATTTAAAGAGGTTAAACACTGCAACAGGCCTTTATTTCTCCCTATTTTGGCACACAGTAAACTAAACCAGAAGCTTATCCTCATCCTTGTGCATTCAGAGGCATTTATGGGCCATGATTTTTGCAGTTCTCTGCTGTTTGTGGATTTCAGTTTGTTCCCAAAGAGTGAGGAAGGTTAATAACATGTCACAGCAAAACATCARCTGTGTACACTGTGAGGAGGACAAGCTGCCCTTCATATTCCCATGGAAAGTGTTGATGACAGAATCTGCGAGATCAGATATGAGAACWGGTCTTTGTTCTTAAACACTGAGAAGAACACCGTGTGTTTCCCCACAAAATACTCTTTCAAAGCTTTCAGCCACTGTAGGTAATAATTATAGTTAGCTGATACTCAGCTGAKATTAAAAACCAGGAAAGATCAGAGCTTTCTGAAACGTGTTCAGCCTGCAAAATATTCCCTGACATGTACAGTATTCCTCATCTTGGTGATTATGCTCAACCTCACCTCCTATTTTTGGCTAAGGATTTGTCCTTGACCAGGGCATGGCACGACTGCTACCCCTAGATTCTGAAGCTCTTTAGTGAGAGTGTTCCTCTGGAATGAGAAAATTCTGGTTGCTGCTGCTTTTCCCACATAATGGGATTTAAAACCACGTTTCTCATTAACATTTTCTAACTATCATGCTGCAGAAGGGTGTTCCTCTGCTTTTGGCAGCCTGTGACTGTAGCTTTCCTTTAGTTCCTGTGTTTTTCTCTTAGTTCCACTTGAGAGTTTGACCACAAAATCTGCCTGTGCTGCTTACATGGATGTGGAATTAAAGTGAGTTAGTGCAGAAATGCATTTGGATTGCTGTGTCTGAAGCCATTGGACCCACTCCCATCAAATGCCTCCTGTGAAGTGCTAAGTGCTTTAAAATCCCACTGGGAATTACAGGCTTGAACTGCCTGTGTGAATGGATGAATAAAAGCCAGAAAGTTGCKTGTTTATTTCACAATTGAAATGACTCTGAACTGCTCAGAGACAAGGAAAGTGATAAAAATTACACAGTGCTGAATTGGCTGCTGTTTACTCAGATACCTGAGTATTGCTCCTGATGCCTGCAATATGGAAACCAGGACAATGCTGGAGGGAATGGCAGTATTTGTTGGTGTCACCTGCTTGATGTAGCATGAAAAATACCTTAGGATTGTGAAAAACATGTTGGCAATTCAGCTACAGTAGATGGCAATTTTATTTTTTCCCTTTGGGGGAATGGGGATACTAGGAAGAAGATCATCAAGTTTCCTTGGCAGGAATTTATATGAGATAAAGTRTCCTGTTCCTGTTTAATGGGGAAAGGATTTAAATCCTGACTTTATTAGGTTATTTTTTCAACAATCCTCTCTTTTRTTTAATTTTCTTTTCCTTTTTGACTGAGGTTGCAAAACTTCAACATTTAGTCAGGACTTGCTCATCAGACACGAGCAGAAGTACCAGATCAAGAATCAGTTTGAAAGCCAAAAGTGATCAACAACCATTTTGGCCTATTTTTGCTTTTGGGTTTCTATTTGATGCCAGTTATCCCTGAGGAGAGACCAGGGTTCAGGAGAGCTATGTCAGCACGGAATAACCCTGAGTGAATAGACATATCCTGTGTAAATTTAGCTAAGTCTTGTGATTTCTCAGTATTGATAAAATCTTAGCAGTGCTGGATAAAGTTACAGTAAAGTGAGGCAGAAATGCACTTAGCTTTGAAATACTGGGCTCCAYAAAGATGTCCAAGGTAGTGGTCTGTGAAAAGGGGAAGCTATTAAAAAGGAAGGAATCTTTTCTGGATACTCACAAAATACTGTTTGATGTATTTGTTGCTGTGAGAAAAATGTCATCGGAGAAGTTTGTTCCACAGAGCCTCAGCTTAAATAGCCAYGTCCAAAGTATCTGACTTATGCAGACAGTCAGCTAAGAGATGTAATGGTATTCCAGCTCCTAATCCTCTTCTYATCCCAGGGTGAGGTAGGAATGTGTATCTGATATTTGTAATGGATCTGGCCCTTGTGCTTACAGAATGGACTCAATGCTCTGCACCTGGCAGCCAAAGAAGGCCACGTGGGACTGGTACAGGAATTGTTGGAAAGAGGCTCGGCTGTGGATTCTGCCACTAAGGTAAATCATGCATGTGTCTAAGTTTATTCAATACTTGTGAGAAATACAGAAAAAAAMCCCCAAAAGTACAGAATAAGAGAATAATAAAAATAGCACCATTGATATTTGAACTGTAATTTCGGTTACGGCCTGTGAGTTTTGCTTGCTGAAGCTCACTGCAATTAAATGAAGAGGTAAACATAATTTGTACTATAAAATAGAGGAAGCGTTAGAAGTTTTTAACAGTGCTAGATTTTCCTTATTTTCAGTGACAGGCCCTTTTTATTCTGAGCAGAATTAGTATAGTTCCAAGTAGTAGGTTTTTCAGTTCTGTGAGAATCGATATTGACTTTGTCATACCCAGAGTCTTTTCACTCATGGGCACAATGGAAAAAGCACTTGTGGGATAAGTTGTTTTTCCTTCAGCTTTTCCACAGGCAGGCACAAGCACATGAATGCTATAAAATTGAAATGATTCCTGAAAAGGGATAATAATAACTTCCATTTTCCCTCTCCATCTAACAGAAAGGGAACACAGCCCTGCACATTGCATCCTTAGCAGGACAAGCTGAAGTTGTCAAAGTTCTGGTGAAGGAAGGAGCCAATATTAATGCACAATCTCAGGTATGATGCTGTTTCCCCTTCTCACTTCTAAAAGTTATTGAGTGAGGTTTTGTATGATGGATCTGAGATATCAGACACTGCTTCTAAACATCCAAGCCTGACAAATCAAGCAAATTGAGACATCACTGGTAAGTAAAATCAAAGTACTGAATTGAAGTCATTATATGCTCATTGTGTGATACAGGATCTCATGTTGTTGGTGATTGAAAAATTTCTGAAACAATTTATTGAAGCATACTAGRAATTCTTAAAATATTTCAAAGTGTTTAAGTATTGTATTTTGGTGGAATTTGATGAGCAGTGATGAAGAAGATAATTTCTTAAGGGTTTGATTTGTACAATTGYTTTTTATGGTTATTTTTGGCTAAAAATTTGCAGGTAACTTACTCCAGGCTTCCAAACTCCTTCTTTACGTGATCAGAAAGAATTTCAATCAAAAGTTTGCCATGCCCATTTGAATTGGGGGAAAATCACCTTGTTCTGGCAGGGAAACCAACTGTGAAAACTTCCCTCTTATTTCCACTGACATGACTCTTGTCTGCTCTYCTAAAACATACCAGAGAACAGGGAGATGTCCCCTACCTGTAATTTCCTTTGTTTAGGATTAAGAACAACTTATCAGATAAATAATTTGATTAATGTTTGTAAATGCTGCCTCTACTAGAGCAACTGTAGATATAAAGAGCTGAATGGGTGGTGTAGATGATAAAGAAACTGCATCTTTCTGAAGCACCTGGCAGTGATATCCTCAAAAAAATTTAAATTTTTCTAGCACTAGCTCCACACCTTGCTTGCCCAGACCTGGAAACATCAAACCTGCTGTTGTTTGATGTTACAAATTCACCACGGACAGGGTGAAGTAAGTAGAGAGCAGGAGATGTACAAACAGCTTTGAAAAATGAATAGGTKTATCTGTACCTTCAGCACATTTTATGACAAGAGAAAGAAATTGGCAAGAACTTTAACCTGAGTCCAAGATTTTAAAAATATTTTCCTTATTAAGCTTTTTGTCCCAAAATGAGTGAAGAGCTCTGTCAGGATGGCTGATGGACAGTTGCTCCCCATGCTCTATTCCCAATAAAGAAAAGAAATGTAATTCCTTAGTTCAAAAATTTGGCAACCTCCTTTCAAAATGAGCAAACTGGATGATTACTTCATAAATTTTCATCAGCCTTTTCATGTGTTTTAGAAGATAAAAAGTCTTTAATGTTCTGGGCATGGTAAGAGAAATAATGGTAAAAAATAATACTTTCATGAAGCATTGTTCCTTGAAAAGTCTTCATAAAAGCTTTTCCTTATGCTGAAAAATTGAATGAGGTTTTCTGAATTTAAAAAGGCAAATCCAGTTAGAATTGGAAAATGTTTTCACAGGTATTACTTTGTATTGKATTCTAGTTTTAAACACATTAATTGTTAGCACTGGATGCTTTGTGTAGTGTACACAGAGCTGTTAAGAGGCATTTGCTACTTGATTTAAWTGAGTTAATCTGGTGGAGGACATTTTCCCCATTACTGCTCACTGGTTGCCTCCAGGCAGGATGGATTGGAAGTGCTGGGATACAGATGTCCTGCATTTGTGTCTTAATTAAACAAGTCCTGTTGGCTTAACTGGGAGTGTGAGTCCTCAATGTGGTGTCATCCAGCTTTGGAGCCTTGGGGTTGTGTATTTCTGGCCTTCTGTGCTTTTCCAAAAGAGATGGTTAACATGGATAATAGCTGCTTCAGGCAGGAGATATTCAGAGGTTCTTGCTGCTACTGCCAAAGGAGACATTCCAGTGGAAGGTGTCCCTTAATTATAAAGTAATTTTTTTATTCTCCATGAATGAAATGAAGATGATGAATGTAGCCTTCTTGCTCAAGGTTGCATTGACATGTCAAAAATCACAYGTCATAGAAAATAAATGTTAGAGAGAAGAAACCAGAAACTCYAAAATTAATAAAGAATAAGCTTGATTTATGATAACTGATGAAGAAGGGTTCAAGCATRCCTAACTACAACTGGTCAAAAAAGGAAAATATGAAATTATGTAGAAAAAGGGAGAGAGAATGACTGAACAGAATGTGCTAGAGTACTCAGATACTAGGGTTTTTTTTGTCTAGAAACATGTCACTAATGAAAAAAAAAGGAGAAAAAAAAATCCTGTCAGGAAAAAGCTTAATTGAGAAGGTGAGAAATGAACAAAAATACAGATTAAAGGTACAATGGAATATAAATGTGAGAAGTTATAACTGAAATGCCTGACTTCTCTGTCTTGTATTTTCCCTCAATTCAGTTTTTAAAAATAGATGCCATAGTGTTACCCTTAAATTTTGTAGGAGCAGTTGTTGCTGTTGAGGGTGTACTGCATTTTCTCCTTGGTATCTCTGTTATTTCACACTTTATTTTTTTTAGGCCCCTGTGAAATGCCATGTGCTGGTAGTGATTTAGCACCAGGAGAGTTACTCTGGTTTCTCCATCGCTTCCTCTTTACAGAGCTCAGTGTCTGTAAAAACCATTCTCATTTCTAGTGATGACAATTTCCCATAGTGACAAAATTTCTTCTCTGATGGTGAACTGGTAGATAAAGGAGTAGTTGCAACTCCAGCTTGTTGAGTTTATTGYTTTTTCTTTAATTTTTTCCATTAAATTACATAAAAACACTGGCCTTCGTCACAAGTTATAAGCAATGACATCTGAAACACCACACTCATTTTCCAGTTCCTTGCAACAGCAAAATAACAGAATTATCTCAGAAAATGCTATTAAACCCACTGTAACCACTGGGATTACAAACCCCATCTGTGCTGAGGCTGTTAAGCATTCTGGGCTCTGATTTTATAGATTTTGAGTTTCTATTAGATTACTTTGCTTTGCCCTTCAGTTTCATGTTGGCCTCCAGAGCTGTTATTTTGTTCATCTTCCTCTTTTAAAAAGTCTGTTCCTTTTGAGCTAACATGTCATCAGTGCTATTTTTAGGAGAGTAATTTCTATTTTGATACAAAGCTTAATTGCACAGTGATTGCTAATTGAGTGACTCCACTTCCAGTTGCATGTGTGTGGTTTGAGAACTCACATCTTCCTGAAGTTTCAGGCAAAAACTGGATGAAGGCACACCCAGCATAGCCAAAGATCTCTAAGTTGCTGCTCTTTTTTTTGGCATACCTCCACCTAGAACTGCACAAGTGTGTATTTTTTTGGCTCAGTTAGAAGTGCCTTTTGCTACAAATATTAAACAGTAAATATATTTATATAATGAGCATCTATAAACCCTTTACTTGGTTGACTCTACTCATAGTTCAGTGAGCAGATCTAGACAGGCATCATCAAGTGAGTATTTGATTTCTGCAATTTCTCGTCTTGATTTGACCATGATTTTGGTCCAGTGTAGATCTGATTGTGCTGCAGTTGTTGATAATCCAGTGATGGTACAAACCAGAATGCAAAGTGGGTAACAGATCTGCTGGGGTGTTCCAGGCTGTTCCTTTGAGATTTGTCTTCCTTGCAGAACAGATCATGGTCTGTCCCATGGATTGATGTCACTTTCTGTGCTGTGTATTCGCTTGCAGGGGTGATCCTCTGATTTCACTGGGAAATTCAGGCCAAGTCTTCAGGGAGCATAGGAATGTTCCATCAGGGAGACCCATGGAAGTGGAATTGGCCACTCACTTCTCTCACATCCCACACATGTCCCCATCACACACTTTCACTGAGCCTGGTGTTATCCTTCTTCCACAGCTGGATCATCTCTACCCCAAACCTATTCTTGTGGGGTTGCTTGTGCGTTGGAAAAATACTTATTTTTTGTGCTCTTCCTCCCAATGAGATCTACATTTTTGACCCATTATGAATTCTTATGTGATTTCTGGGTTTTTTTTCCAGGTGGAGGAACTAGCACCACATTTAGTCAATCCAACCCTTTCCTTTGATAAGTTACTGTTTCCCTGTTACTTTACTTTCTCTCTAAGTCACACTTGACCATCTGGCTCATGTACAGGCATCATGATAACTGGAAGTCAGCCTTCCAAATGTGCTGATAGCCTGACTGCAGTAATCCTGATAACTGAGTCTACCTGTACACTGTCCCTGCAGCAATGATGCTGGGCTGTCATGACCATACCTTCCTTGAGGAATGGGTCCATCCTGACATTGCTCTGTTCCAGACAAGGTCAGGAAAAACCTCATGTGGAGAGTTGCACCTCCTAGGATGAGGCGCTTTGACAAATGCCAAGTGATTGAGGTACCAAGCTGAGGCAAAATGAGGACATAGAGTCTGYTCCTGTTTGGGAATTGTAAGTGAACTGTCATACCCTGGTGTCACCTAAGAAAGAAGTGATTCCCTCCAATTTTAATATTCCTGCCGCTGAGTTTGAAAGGAATGCGTTCCCCATTAGTGCAGGTTATGTTTTGGCCACTGCTTTGTTTAGAGGGCCTCACAAAAGGAGGAGCTACCTTTTAATCATCAGATTATTTAAAGTGACCCAGATACRGAGAGCAAGGATTAGATAAATCAGTCCTCCCCCAAGCTGATTTTGTTATTTAAAAGCCCTCCGGTTTCCCTTCCTCAACATCCTGCTCTAAGCGCATTGGGAACACATTAGCCAAGAAATATTTTTGCTTAAATTTGCCCCTGCTATGGTCCACACTTCCTAGGCCAACACACAGGAGATGCTCTTGTGGCTGCTCAAGCATTCTTTTCCAGMCTTCTCATCAGATTGAAGCAGTCCTGAGAATAGCACATTTCCAACCCCACTGTGTGTTCCCAAAAAGGAGCAAGAAGAGCTTGTAACATCCCCACTCCGTGTTACCACAAAGGCAAAAGGAGGATTTAGGTGGTTCTCAGAGAAGTGATCAGCTTGTCTCWCTCAGGATGCCCTGGGATTTGCTTTACCAGGGATTGCTCTCGCTGTGGTTTGCAAGGATAATCTAACCTTTGGAATGGAGCACATTTGTGACTCCATTATGACAAAAGGTTTTAACTCCACCAACTGGGCTTTCTGCTTTTATAGTGATATATTTAGAG